ATGTTAGACGCTTTCTCTTTATATGTCGATTGTTCTGCAACGAAGTTGTGTCCAGCTCTTTGCGACCCCACGAACTACAGCACACCCAGCTTCCCTGTCCTTCACTAGCTCCCACAGTCTGCTCAAGTGCAAGTCTGCTGAGTCAGTCTAGTAGGTCAAGTTTATTATTTGCATTCTAATTTTCTACAACATTTTTAGTTTTGTTTGTCTGCTTATTCTGCCAATCCCTGATAAATATTTGTTAAATTCTCCCACTATCACTTGGACATTTCTATTTCTCACTGTACTTTGGTTAATCTTTGCTTTATATATTATGAAGCCATTTTACTAATGCACACAAACAAAAATTTTTCATCTTTTTGTTTTAGAGTTTATTTCATGTAATTTTTCAGTATTTATTTTTATTTATTTATTCGCCTGTGCTGAGTCTTAGTTGCAGCATACGGGATCAATGATCTTTTTCACAGCATGAGAACTCTTAACTGTAGCATGTGAGATCTAGTTCCCTGGCCAGGGATCAAACCCAGGCACGCTGCACTAGAAGCATAGAGTCTTAGCCACTGGACTACTAGGGAAGTCCCTATTTCATGTAATATTAATCTATCTACAACAGCTTTTCTTTGGTTAGTAGACTATATTCTTTTACTTTCAAATTTTCTGTATCTTTATGCTTTATCTCTCTCTTATAAAACACCATACAGTGTTTTTTTTTCTTTTATTTACTCTTACCTGACAATCTTTTATCTATTTACATGTAATGAAGTTGCTGACATATTTATCATCATTTATTTATCCTATGTGCCCTAGTGTTATAAGTACCTTCCCTCCTTTCTTGCCATCTAGACTATTTTTTTATTAGTCATTTTTCCCCTATAATTTAAAGATTACACACTTTAAAAAAAAAACTCTTTCTTCTTGAAAATTACTCTGCATATTACACCATGCATCTCTTACTTATCAAAATATAATGTTAACAGGTACTTCCCCCGAGCTTCCCCAGATAATATAAGTCCTCACACACTTTAATTCTATCCCACTGCCAACTACTATTGTCATATATTTAAACTGTCTTTTAAATTCAGTAAAACATTATTATCATTGTTTAATAAGGTCTACATTCATTTTATTTACCCATTTACATATTTTCTACTATTCTCGTTATTTCTTCCTGACTCTCCAAGCTCCCATCTGGTATTTGCCTTCTGTTCAAGTAATATTCTTTAGAATTTCATTTAGTGTGGGTCTCCTGGTATTTCTTTATGTATAGCTTTTACAGGGAGGAATACCTGAAAAGTGCTTATTTCTTCATTTTTAAAGGCTATTTCTGCTAGGTATAGAATTCTAGGTGTAGCAATTATTATCTTTCAGTGCTTTGAATATGTTAGTCCATGGTTTCCTCCTTCCATTGTTTCCATTAAGAATATACTATCAGTTTAACTGTTCTCTTTTGAAACTAATCTTTTTTTCCCCTGGTCCAATTAAGATTTTTTTCTTTGTCTTTCATCTGAAGCACTTTTACTGTGATGTACTTAGATATTATTTTCTTTGTATTCATTCTGCTTTGGTTTTGGAGACTTCTTCAATCCGTGGCTTAACTAATCAGTACTAAAAAACATTTATCCATTATCTCCTCAAATACTGGTTGTACCCCATCCTCTCTCTCTCCTAAGATTGATTCCAAACACACAGTTGATACCTGGTTCACTGTGTCTTCCATGTCTCTTGTACTTTTTCTGAGTATTTTACTCTTTCTCTTTGTGATGTATTCTAGGTTGTTCCTTCTGACCTATATTCTAGTTCATTTATTCTGTTTAGCTTTATTGAGTCTTCTATTAATTCATCTGTTAAGTTTTTTTATTTTTCATTCTTGGGATTTTCTTTTGGTGCTTTATCAGCTCTGCTACATTGCTTTTTTATAATTCACAGTTCTCTGCCAAAATTTTTAATTCAGTCTTTTACATTCTTGAACATAGTTAGCATTGTTTAATTTTTTAGCACAGTTATTTTAAAGCTTGGTCTGATAAAGCTAACATCTGAAGAACTTACGGGACTGTTTTTATTTCTCACTCTTTCTGCTCATTTTCATTCGTGTTGTTATGTCTTCTCATATATCTACTTATTTTTGGTTGTGAGCCATGTATTATATTTGAAAAACTTCAGTAGTTTAAGGTTCTATATCATGCTATCTTAGTCTGAAAAGGTTTGCTTTTGCCAGATGCTTGGGACTACCTTATTTAAATTTCAGAGACTGAAATGATCGAGGATAGTCCCTTTCAGGAAATTATATTTCTAGTTCATCCTTACTCTTATATAGATACATGCTTTAGGGGCCCAAAACCAATGAGCAGAAGTTTAACTGCACTCTATCCATTTTTGACAAGTCATCAACTCCCAACTTTCTTAGCTTCTATCAAGAGGGCTGGTCAATCTCTTAGCCCCCTCTTTTGAAATTCATGAATGTGTTTAAGAGAAAATTAGTCCCAAATGTTACCAAACGTCTTACCTCTCTGGGTGTATGCTTTTCCCCAGATCTCTACTTGGTAATTTTTTTTCACTTCCTTGGCTTTCTGAATGCCCTGAAGCAACTTTTTAAAATATTTTGTCTAGCTTTTCTACTTGTCTTAAGAGTCAGGCTTGGTTTGAACTGTCTGGCATTATTAAAGCAAAAATTCTTAGCTTTTATATCACTTGGATAAAACCAAAATTGTAATTTTAGTGTGGTTTCAGGAAGGAGAGGATTTAGAAGTATGTTCAATTTGCCAGCTTAACCTAAAAGGTTATTCTTCATCTCCCTTCAGAAAAAAATTTTTTTAAAGCCTGTATCAGTTTATAGCCACACACTTTGTTAAAGAAAAAGGAAATTAGAAGATTCTATACATTTACTTTTGTAATTAATATCTAGCACACTTTCCGTATCAGCACCAATAGCTCTACTTCATTTTTTCACTTTTTAATGGCTGTACTTCATACTATTCAATCTAACTCAACAAATATTTACCTACTATGCTCATTCACCTACTATACTTGGTTTTGAGGTGATAATGGTAAGCAAAAACTAATTTTGTCCTCATCACTCAAGTCCCTGTTGAGTGACTTGTAACAATATATATATATTAACTGTATAAATAAATGCAAAATTATAACTCTATCAAATGCTAAGAAGTTAGCACCATTGATGTGAGAACAGGTCAGGTGTGTTGGGTCTAGGCCGGGAGATCAGAAATACCTTCCATGATGAAGTGGCAATAAGTTGAATAGGAACTAACTAGAAGAGAAGTGGGAAGGAAAGGAGGCTTACAGCAAGGAAATAATCTAACTCCATGTTGACAATCTACCATATGAATGTATCATAATTGACTTATCCTGCTCTCCTCTGAGGGATATTGTGACATTTGAATCTTTTGCTACTATATATGATAGTTTGATAAATATCCCCATATATAATTTTGGTACAATTTAGGAATCTTATCCTTATGATACATATAATATAGCATTACAAGGATACATATAATAGCGTTAATACATACAAGAGAGTTCACAATAATTTCCACTTAGATTAAAATATAAAATTTACTAGATCTATTTCCTACATATTTCATTCTTTCCTAACTTTAATTCTTTGTTTTAATTTTCACTTGGCTGCACTATTTTCACAAGAACTGGTTCCCTGCAGTGATCTCCTATCCCATTAATAAAGGTAAACATAGTTATGCTCCATCTGCTCTGCACCTTCAACGTTGAATTTGAAGCATAAGTATGTACAGGACTTTCGTCTATATTCTCAAAGTAAGCTGGGCTTTCTTCACAACACAGATACTTCATCCTAACAGCTGAGTGAATCACCTTAGTATAAGCTTGGAGAGAATGAGGCAGTCAAGAGGTTTATGCAAAGGTGCCGCCATCTTTTCAGAATCTCCTGCATTCTCAGATGAGTTAGGATCTGTCTTTAAAATCAAACCTCCCACAAAATACTAGAAAAAAAAAATACTTGGCTACATAAACAAAATGTAACTATATAAAAATCTCTCAGGCCAATAAGAAGAAAAACAAACAAGCACATAACAGTACAAAAGTGGGGAAAATGCATGAATTGACAACTCACAAAAACTAAATAAAGGAGGTCAATAAGCACAAGAAAAAAATGCTCATTAATCATCATAAAAATAGAATTTTAAATTAAAAAACCACAAGACTATAAAAATTATAATAAGTAGTATTTAAGAGAGCACTGTGACCTACATGTTGCACATGACAAATGTGAACTGTTACAGCCTTTCCAGGTGATCTGTGTCTAAATTAAAATTGTAAGTACTGACTGACACAGATTTTCAATTTCTAGAAATCTATCCTATGGAAATAATCAAGAAAGTATTATTTTTCATTTCCTAATAGTGCTTTCCTTTCTTTCATACCACATGTCAACATCTGGCTTTATTGTTTGTTTTTCCCACCGCTAGAATACAAGCTTATTGAGAGCAAGGACCTATATAGTTCTTGGCACATATAAGGAATATAATAAACGTTGATTGTTGGACAGAATATGCAAGGATTTATCTATAAAAATTTTCAAAACTGTGGAGTTGTAAAAGAAAACAGTTGGAAAAAATTCAAAATCCATCAGCAGAGGATTAGTTAAAACACACAATAACCAACATGGACAACTATGTAGCCATTGAAAATTAGTCTACAAAAATACCAGTAAATGTATGTGATGCTATCACATGACTTCATTTTTGCTAAAAAGAAAAAAAGAGGAGAAAAAAGATGCTAATAACAGTATTTATATCACGATGTTAACAGTGGGTATCTATGAGATGGTAGGATTACCGGCAACTTTTTCCCCTTATTTATGGTTTCCTGTATTTTTCAAATTTTATTTTTCTACAACAAACACAATTATTTTTTAATAAGGCAAAGAAAATTCTCCAAAACAAACTAAAACTAAAACGGAAACCAAAAGTTCTTTGTTTCTAGTTCAGAGAAGGAAAAGGCAAGTTTACCTTCAAGTTCATCATCGGAAATCAATTCATCATCAGAGCATATGTTGAGAATGTTAACCAGCATCTCCGTGACTAGATGACGAGACAAAATAGTCCAAAATTTGTATAATTAATAAGGCACTTTCTCTAAAAGGATGTGGATATATAAATAAACATATATATATTAAATAAACACAGATAAAAATGATTGTTTTGCTATTCAGAGTAGCTTAAGGAGCAGCATTAATGCAGACCTTCAAGTTTATACAGATTTGGGGGAAGATTACTTGTTCCAGTTAAAGCATTGAAGATTCTAATGCTTAACAACTTGATTTCACTTTAGACTGCTGCCAGTTTAGACTTTTCTACACTGATACACACAGGAGAAGATTTCCTCCCATTTTACAAAGAAAGTAAGCCACCAGGCTGATGTACGACAGATTCACAGATTTGCACAGCTCATTTACTCGTGCTCAGTCACTCCTGTCCGACTCTTTATGACACCATGGACTGTAGCCCTCCAGATGCCTCTGTCCATGGAATTTTCCAGGCAGGAATACTAGAGCGGGTTGCCATTTCCTTCTCCAGGGATCTTCCTGACCCAGGGATCGAACCTGCATCTCCTGCATTGGCAGGAGGATTCTTAACCACTGTGCCACCTGGGAAGCTTATTTGTATAGATGCACAAATAGAATTCTAAGGATAAATCTTCCCATTTAAGTCTCTTTATCACAGAAGGAAAGGTTATTTTTACTGTTACTTGTTATTCTAACATCTTGATCATACAAGGACAGCTATTTTAAATTGATACTTAGAAAATCACAATCAACTAGAATTATAATTTAAAATCCAATTAAGCACCACTTAAAAGTCTCTGTAGAGAACAATGAAAATGGAAAACACTTCTGAACCATCAAGGAATGCATGCAAGTAGCAGGGTGTCACTAGTTAGGATAACTGATGGTTCCTCTGTCTTAGTTCTCTTACCTTTTTCCCCAACAAAAGGCAAAGACCACGTGAAAACATCCATGAAGTTTGGAAGCCAGTAAGGGTGTGGAGAACAGTTAAACTGCCTGATATTCATGACGTTGTTTTCGTATTTTAACACAGCAGCTAAAAAGGAAAAAGAAGAAAAATATCTGGCACAGAGGAACAGGACATGGTAAATGGTATACTGTATACAGCTGTGTACCTACTACCCAGATTTCAGGAACTGACTTTCCATTTATAAATTTAGGACACATGGAAAATCTCACAGCATGTTGTACAGTTCATTCTTTTAAGAATTATCCCAAGGAACAAAGTTACCTGAAGAGCTCATATAATGAAAGTACAAAAGAAACTTAAGCTCTGAGACTTCAAAGGTCTTGCATGGTAACTATCTATAGAAATCTCAGATTCCACATGAGAAAAATTTCATCATGATTTCCGTTTATAGGCCAAATGGTTACAATTACAACTTTCCTTTGATGGCAAACATTTCTCATTAAATGAACACAGCCTGTTTTCCTAGTCATTAGCCAGGGCCAAAGATTTTATAAACTCTCTAGGAGTTTATAACATAGCAGTTATTAATCCATAGTGGGGAATGCAAATAAATGGTAAACTTGGAGCAATTTAACAAGGTTCCAAGTAGATTAAATCACTTCTGCACACAATATGTGAATAATACAATATGTGAATAAAAACTGTCCATCTCTCCTATACACAGTCAGTATACTGCTCACACTTTAAATGTTTAATATTAACCGGTTCATATACATATATTGCACACACACATACTTTGGTACCAAATTGATTCTCTTTATACTTAAAATTTTAGAAAAATCCATTCCCTTAGTTTGCATCACCAGCAATGCAATGTGGTTTGCATTATTCTCTTAAATTATTCTTAATGTGATCATAAATAGAATAGGGTACAATAGTTCTCTAGAAATGACAGGTATAGGTCATCTCCTGATCCCTGTCTCTTTGCTTATTATAGATACCCTAGTATTCTCAAATTTTTAAGTCACTGAATATTTAAAGTGTTTACCATAGATTATTAAATAAATATATGAAAACAAGATTTTCAGCTTTTAAGAAGCTTCTAATACTGGTTGCAATGTACATGTCCCATTATTTTCATGTATATGTATTTTATTTAAGTTAGACGAATATATAAATATTCAACAATTCCCTCAATCTACACAAGAAAAAGAGATGGAAGGTGGACACAAAAATAGAAAGAGATCTTTAAAAATCATGACTTAAAGGTCTTTCATGTAACCAGTAGAACTACTGATAAAAAATGTCTGTTCGTACCAATAAGTCTAAAGAATATTCAAGAAAGAAAAGCGATAGGAAAAGAAGGAGGAAAGAGGGACAGAGTCATCTTTTTCAAGAGGAATAATGAAGCATCACCAGAGATTATTTTAGATGCCACATTTTCTTCCTTCCCGATCCCCCCTAAAAAGCTTAAGAAATGACCAAGGAAAACAAGATTGTCACAAGGTAAAGGATGTTACCAATTAACTCAAGGCCAACAAAAAACTCAGAATCAACTGTGACTCTAAAATAGTTTACTGATGGAATGATCAAAACAAGACCAGGTTAGAATGAGGCAAAGAACAAACTGGCAGTTAGTTAAGCTAGTAAAGTGATTGCTGATTTAGATGACATGTTTTAGCTTAGCACACTGATAAATCCACCGGCCAATCAGTAGACACTTTAATAGTAAGGTTAATAAAGGGAGTAAGAAGGGAAAGTCTTCATCACAGATATGAGGGTGAGGGACAGACTGTCCTTGAGGAAGTCTGACAACATGAGTGGCACATACAATTCATAAGGGAGGAAACAAAAACAAAACTAAGTTTCTACTAGGAAAAGGGAAATAAGAAAGAATGGACTTAGGGAGAAGCAGAGTACTGAAGGATAGCCAAGACTCAGAAAAGAATGATGAGAAGGAAAGCAAAAATATAAGACTGGAAGAGAATTTAAGTCAAAGAAATGCCTTTTAATAATGGACAGCATGTCACTAAGGACATCCAGAGATAACTGATCCAAATCAGACTGAAATGAGACGTGCCATTTCATAGTTGACTTTGAAATAGAGGAAATAAGTATACCATGGACCTCTTTTACACTTCTCTCCCCGACTGCATATACAAGATATGACTATAAAGTAATGAGACTTAAGAAACCATCAACAACAAACACACCAGACCTTATATATCAGATGAGTGTGGTCCGTTGATGTAATCACACAAGGCACAGTAACAGTAGGATGTTATAGCAGTGTAGCAATTTATAGTCTGACCAATGCTTTTAATATTCATTTTGATTACTCCAACTTATCTTCAACAAGCCTATGTGACAGTCATGTAACATCAACTGAGGCTCAGAGAAGTTCAGTATCTTGTTAATTGTGAATTTAGAAGTGAAGCAGGACTAGATTAGGATTTTTGCCTCCTAGCTCTCAATGTTCTTATCAATGTACCCTGCTGCCTTACCGTGTGTTTAATCCAAAGATGCTGCCATTACTCAAAATGTTTTTGGAACTCTTCTTTTGGAATTACCTCCAGAGCCACTTTGTAAGCAACACAAGGAAAACCAGTCTCATTACCTTATAATCATACCTTGTTCCTGACCCCAAATGGTATCGTCTAGCTTGATCACTCACCTTAGTCCTCAGTCTTGACTCCGAATGACTTTTGGCTGTTCCAAAAATCAAATCCACCCTCAAAGGACGAAGATTTCCCATCATTGAGGATAATCAAAAGAATGTGTCGCAGACTCTGAAGGCAATGCCAAAAGAGGAGTTCCAAAAATGTTTTGAACAATGGCAGCATTGTTGGAATAAGGGTATAAGCTCCCAAGGTAACTACTTTGAAGGGACCATACTCACTTGGATATATTTGTTCTGGCATGTTTGTTTAAAAGTTCTATTTTTTTTTTAAAGTTCTATTATTTTATAGTCATACTTTATCAGTTACAGAGGCATGTTACAGAAGAGGCTTTTAGGTAGAAGATTGTCCTGATACAAACTGATCAATTAGGGATCATAAAAGTTAAATTTTTTTAAAAAATGACTAAGACTACAAGAAAGTCTTAAAAGTAGAATTTCTGGATCAAAAGGCAAGTGTATATCCAAATCTCTTTTTTTTTATATGGGAAACTGAGGTTAAGAAAGCTATGTGACTTCCTAAAGTCACACTATTAGTTTTGAGCAGGGTTTGGACTAAATGAAGATTTTTCTGACTTTGGGTACAGTATTCATTCTAATTGTATCATTTTTCAAGAGCAAAAACAGCTTAATAATAGACATTAAAACACTAAATAGTGACATTTTATTGAGGGACAGTTATAAATAAATTAGATTCACCAAAACCAATAATTTATGCTGTTTTAACTTCAACCTGAAGTAATTTATTTCTTCTTATTTTGATTCGATGGTGCAAGTCAAACCTACTGTAATCATTACTTATAATCACAGAGTCCCCAAATCCTTAGGAGATGAAAACTAAACAGAAGCCTAAATTCTAAGTTTCTTGGCCTTTGTTTCAATTAAGACTTCTTTTTTTCTTATGTAAAATTTATAAATATATTCCAAAAGTTACCTATGCACATAACATAGGATTAAACTAGAGCTCACATTTACTCACAAATTCAAATTCAAGTATCGCTGGTCCCCTTTACCTTTGTTGTTATAGACATCGAGGTAATTGGGTGCAGAGAAAATCGTAATGAGCGATGGAAAGCCCGTTGTTTGGCTCTTCCTATACATTCGGTACCTGGAAGAGAGATGGCAGCCGTCTGTCTTCATATTAAAAGAAGGAACTCTGCGGTGCTGTTGGGTTCAGAGTTTTGTTTCGCTTATTATTGCTGTTGTTGTTGGCTGTGCCATGCAGCCAGTGGATCTTACTTCCCCAACCAGGGGTCGAACCCACAGCTCCTGCAGTGGACACATGGAGTCTTAGCCACTGAACTGTCAGGGAAGTCCTGGTACAGTTTTGCTATAACTTACCCGGCATCTTGGGCTTCATGGGCTCTGATTATTGAGAGCAAATTATTGTTCTGCAGAAATTCACAAACTGCAGGGTAACTGTAAAAGAAAATTAGAAAACAGATTCAGAATGAAGACACTTGTCTTTGAATAGGAGGCAGGGGAAAAATCAAGATGAAATGAGTTGAATATGTTTTAAATTTATAGGTTTTCATTACCACCGAACTTTTAGTAACAGCTTAGCAATCATCACTCTTGTTCTCCCATGTCACTCATCCACCTCACTCCAGACCAAGAACGTACGTAACGGACACCCTGGGACAGAAGGGAGCTCCCCTACCTTCTAATTGTTTTCTTTAACCCATAAAACTCATAACAATCATAATACAACGCCAAAACTTTTCTTGGTATCTTGATATTAAAAAAGTATTAATACCACAGCAGTTTGCGTGTGCATACACATGTGTGTGTATAGTAGGTACTAAAAACTGAATAGGTGCTTTCTGAATGGCAAATACCCAATAGGAAGAACCAGAGGATACAAAATTATCCCAGAATTATCCAAGGGTTACTTATTTAATTTAGGTTTAACCTTTGTTTCTTATTATGTTCAATAAGTTTTAAAACAGGTTGGACATTCATTCACGTGGTATAAAATGGAAAGATACAAAAAGTTCTACAGTGAAATGTCTCCCTCCAGCCTACCTCTATCTTCCAGTTACCTTGGAATCATCCAATGTCCAGTTACCTTGGAATCATCCAATGTCCATGATTTCTTTGAGAGCCCTTCAGAGATACTTTACTCAATTTCAAGCAATTATACACACACACATGCATAGCCCCCTTTAAGAAATGTTATCAGATGGTACACATAGCTTTTTCGTAGGTCTTTTTTTTTTTTTTTTACTTTATACTAGTGATTATTCCAATCAGCATATAGAGGATTTGTTTTCTTTTTTTCATTTTTAAAAAACAGATTCATTGCATTGTCTGGTATATTCCTTTGTCGGGATGTATAACCATCTATTTAACTAGTCTTCTATTGAATGTTTAGGTTGCTTAAAATCCTTCAGCATAAACAATGCAGGAAGGAAAACCTTGTACAAGCATTTCACACATTTTCAAGTACAGTGGATCCCCATCACTTGCAGCAGCTGTGTTCTACATACAGTTGCCACAGAACGGAATGACAGAACACTGTCACTGCTCCGAGGGGGGATACACGGCCGGGTCCAGTGGGGCTCTGGTCACATGTTTTCATAAACCAATCAACACACAGCCTTGTTCTATATGTGTTTCTGTGCAAAGACCCTGATTGAAGATATAGTGTTGACTCATGAACATGGGACTCACGGCCAACAGGGCCATACTTATTTCTGAATGAAACTTATCTAACACACCACAGCCTTCTGGCACATAAGAACACTAGATAGCACTTCAGTACTACGCTTGGGGGTGATTTTAAACAGCAAAACATCAACAAAAACGTGGGAAATGTTTCACTAAATAGAGCACAGAAAAAATACTTGCTTACAGGGTGAGAGCTGAAATAAGAAGGCAGAGCAACTGTGCCTTCAACCTCAGTGGGAACGTGCAACGGGTGACCCACATTTTCCATTGCTCTGTACACACAAATGTCTGTGAGTGACTGGGACTGCTGTGAGTACTGACTCTGGGGTTACAAATAAAAACAAGCAGGCAGATTTGCAAAGCAGAATTCGTGAATAATGAGGATCCAAGATCATGAATGATAATAGCCACAGGATTACATTTTAGAAGTAGAAATTCTGGAATAAAGGCCAAGGCCACTTATAATTGAGAAATATTGGCAAGCTGACAGTCACAGAAACTGTACCAATTTATATTCTCCTAAAGATAAAAAGCTTTATGCTCTTTATTTTAAGCAATGTAAAGAGAAGCAAAATTTAAACGATTCCATCATATTAGTCACTGCCAAAGGTGGCAGAATAGAATGAAAAAGTTACTTCGAAGAATGTTAAAACTATGGGAAAACTGAGGGGTTTTTTTGTGTGTAGATTTCATTTAATGAATGCATTATCTTAAGCAACTATCAGAGATTTTTAGGGTACTAAATACAGATATGATTTATTGGAATAAAATATTGGGATTTTTTAAAAAGTAGGCTTCAAACTTCCCTGAACCTCCCTAGTTTGGAGTGGCAAAGCACAATAAAAGCTCCCATAGGAGATTTAAGACAACAATCAACTTCCAGGAAATGTCCTGGGCTTAGTTCACAATGTCCTGTTCTTTTTATATCTTTGCCAATGCCAGCAGTTCCAAAAGCTAGAGAGCTTTTTAAAAAATAACAGGATTCCCTTGTCTCAGGCTTACTGAACCAGAATCTCTGAAAGAAGAACCAAGAAATCTTTATTTTTCAAGAAGTCAATAGTGGATGTTTGGGAACAAATAATCCAGATCATGTAGAGTCAGACAACAACACTTGAGCACTACAAGATGTTGTGTTCAATTGTGTTTGGTATATTACACTTATTAGGGCATAACACCTAATAAAGTATAGAAAACAAGCAAAGGAAGAAAAGCATTTTCTTCCTTTTATTAATCAAAAAATTAAGTAGAAGTCCCTGAATGACACAGATTCAAGATACCAAATATGAAGTTAAAAATATTTTGATAAAGTATATTACAACTTCCTCTTCTCATTTTCTGAGGATTCAGTTGAGTTCAGTTGCTCAGTCTTGTGCAACCCTTTGTGACCCCATGGACTGCAGCAAGCCAAGCTGCCCTGTCCCTCACCAACCCCCAGAGCCTGCTCAAACTCTTGTTCATCAAGTCGGTGATGACATTCAACCATCTCATTCTCTGTTGTCCCCTTCTCCTCCTGCCTTCAATCTTTCCCAGCATCAGGGGTTTTTCCAATGAGTCAGTTCTTCGAATTAGGTGGCCAAAGTATTGGAGCTTCAGCTTCAGTATTAGTCCTTCCAATGAATATTCAGGACTGATTTCCTTTAGAATTGACTGGTTTGATCTCCTTGCAGTCCAAGGGACTCTCAAGAGTCTTCTCCAACACCTTTCAAAAGCATCAATTCTTCAGTGCTCAGCTTTCTTTATAGTCCAACTCTCACATCCATACATGACTACTGGAAAAATCATAGCTTTGACTACATGGACCTTTGTTGGCAAAGTAATGTCTCTGCTTTTTAATATGCTTTCTAGGTTTATCACAGCTTTTCTTCCAAAAAGCAAGTGTCTTTTAATTTCATGGCTGCAGTCACCATCTGCAGTGATTTTGGAGCCCAAGAAAATAAAGTCTCTCACTGTTTCCATTATTTCCCCATCTAATCTTAACTGAGGATTAGCTTACCTGTAAAAATAAGAGCACCCTCGGACAGTGTTGTGGGTATAGTGTTCCAAGGTCTTTTCACTGCCGTAATCCTCGGAGGGATCAGACCAAAGCAGGTCACACACTGGCCCAAAGGCTGGAGGTTCTTTAAACCTGTCTAACTAGAAGACACGCAAAAGCCAAAAGAAGAGACATCATGAGAGCAAAAGAGCTTCTGGAAACTGCATGTGCATATTCAGACGCTTCTGTCATGTCCGACTCTTTATGACCCCATGGACTGTAACCCGCCAGGTTCTTCTGTCCATGGGATTTCCCAGCAAGAATACTGGAGTGGGTTGCCATGCCCTCCATCTGGGGATCTTCCCGATCCAGGGACTTTAGTTTCCTGCACTGCAGATGCATTCTTTACTGCTTAGTCACCGGGGAAGCCCTGGTAGAGGTCAAAATAAGACCCTTCCAATCATAGACTGTATTAGGAGAGTGGGCAGTAACCCCTAAAGAATTTTCCTTTAGGATGAAAATGAACATTTAAAAATTTAGATGCATAGTTTTTAATAGTTTTTGGTAATAAATTTTAATTAATATCTATATCCCTATGGTAGAAAAGGATCTCCTTACATCCTCATCTTAAAAGTGGTGCTCATTTAATTTGAATGTGAAGTCCATCACTATAGAAACATACTATTTATGAGAAAGACTCTGTAAAGTTTATTTCAATTGCCTAGGTAAGTCCAGGTTACCATGAGAGCAGCAAGGGTTTTCCAGTGGCTCTGTTCATTGTTTATCTCATTCCAATGGAGATTTATTTTAAAGAATGCTAGTTCTGGGGGGGGGGGGGTTTCAAAAGGTTTCATCCTTTCCATTCTCTGCAGTGGAGGCATTTCAAAGTTATTAACTGAAGCCTCTAGTCACTGGGGCTTTAGTTAAAAAGCGAAAACAAAGAAACAAAAGAAACCACACCCACCAAGTAACTAGGAGAGCTGAATGCCAAGAAAAGGACTCCTACTGAATGAAAGGGGAGCTTTTTATTAACACAATTGATTTAGAATTGTAAAATTTGAGACTCACTATGTAAAACAGTGAAAGTGAAAGTCGCTCAGGGTGTCCAACTCTTTGTGACCCCATGGACTATATATAGTTCATGGAATTCTCCAGGCCAGAATACTAGAGTGGGTAGCCTTTCCCTTTTCCAGGGATCTTCCCAACCCAGGGACTGAATACCAGGTCTCCCACATTGCAGGCAGATTCTTCACCAGCTGAGCTATCAAGAAAGCCCGAGAATATTGGAGTGGGTACCCTATCCCTTTTCCAGCAGATCTTCCTGACCAAGGAATTGAACTGGGGTCTCCTGCATAGCAGGCGGATTCTTTACCAGCTGTTTATTTAATAACAAGGCAGCAGAAAAGGCTGTGCATTATTACTACCCTCTTACCCTGAAAATAGTAACTTTAAGTCAGAGAAAATAACTCTCCAAACAGAAAATTTTTTAGTTTCCGTACCTGTGTAAGAGAGGTAAGAGAATACCTCACTTCATGATTCAGTCTTGGAAGCTTACGTGACTCTAAAAATTTGTCTGTTTCTTTTAGGTTGCCCTATTTGTTGGTATATAGCTATTCATAATATTCTGTCATGGGGCTTCCCTGCGGTTCAGCAATAAAGAATCTTCCTGCCGATGCAGGAGATGCAGGTTTCATAATATTCTGTCATGGGGCTTCCCTGCGGTTCAGCAATAAAGAATCTTCCTGCCGATGCAGGAGATGCAGGTTTGCTCCCTGGGTTGGGAAGATTCCCTGGTGGAGAAAATAGCAACGCACTCCAGTATTCTTGACTGGCAAATCCCATGGACAGAGGAGCCTAGTGGGCTACAGTCCACAGGGTTGCAGAGAGTCAGACATGACTTGACCACTAAACAACAAGAGAATACAAAGGCAGAGGAGAGAAGACGATGATACAGGACAACATAATTGAAAAAAGACTGACCGCCTTTTTTCAATCGTGAAGATACACAATCCCTGAAAATCATGATTACCAACTAAGGCAAGTATAGCAATTAAACTCTATCATCTAAAAAGTCAAAGTCAATGGTTTCACAGCTGAAGAGTCCTCAGCCCATCCATTTCAACTTCCTCATTTTACAGAGAAGAAAATCTAAGAGGTTAAGTGATTTGCTATGGGTTACACAATTAATGCGGGCTTCCCTGGAGGCTCAGATGGTAAAGAATCTGCCTGAGATGTAGGTAAACCAGGTTCAATCCATGGGTCAGGAAGATCCCCTGGAGTAGGGAATGGCAACCCACTCCAGTATTCCTGCCTGGAAAATTCCATGAACAGAGAAACCTGTCGAGCTACAGTCCATTGGGTCACAGTCAGACACAACTGAGTGACTAACACTTTCACTTCTTATCACATAATTAATGGCAGAACAGGGATTAGAACCCTGGTTTTCTTCCTTCCTTCAGTTTGGTCACTCAGTCATGTCTGACTCTTTGTGACCGCATGGACTGCAAATGCACGACCATCGAGTCCGTGATGCCATCCAACCATCTTATCTTCTGTCATCCCTTCTTTCCTTATTGCAATATAATTTAAAGTTTCAGGACTATACTCAAAATATGTTTCTAGTTTGTAAAAGCCACGTTTTGTTAAAAATTAGACATTTACTGGAAGATATACAGGAAAGATGTTAACAGAAGCAACTGCCCAATAAAAGATCACTGGTGATTTGTTTTTCTTACTTTTAGTTATCCATATTTAAAATTTTCAGCAATAAAGACATATTAGTTAACTGCAATAAAAAACAAAATTAAAAGCATATTTATTCCAAGAGACTAATGAATGCTTACTTACTTTCCGAATGTCATCTAAACAAGTAATTTCAGGTGACATTCCTCCATGTACACAAAGAAACTGCTGGTTTAAGAGGGCAGCAAGAGGAAGACAGTCAAATGTTTCCATACACGCATCATACACCTGTTCAGAGTATTTGATTCGACCTATTAAAGGGAAAACAAAGGAGGAGAAACAGAATTTATCATACCTGACAAAGGATACAGGCCCAATGATTATAAAGCTACTCCAAAGCCATTTAATGCAGGCAAATTCAAAAACAATCATCTTTGTAAAGATATTTCTGAAAAGTTGTGGATAAAGGGTAGACAAAATCTCCATGTTTTTCTAAAGACAAGTGTGACCTTGGATTAAGTTTCTAGTTCTGTTGCCCTGGAAACCTGATAAAGTGAATGCAATCACCTGTGTCATTAGGCAATGATGTTTATGGTGAAAACTACCTCATCACCTCAGTGCTCAGTTGCTAAGTCATGTCTGACTCTTTCTGACCCCATGGTCTACACCTGCCAGGCTCTTCTGTCCATGGGATTTCCCGGCAAGAATACTGGAGTCGGCTGCCATTTCTTTTTCCAGGGGATCCTCCAGACCCAGGGATGAAACCCACGTTTCCCGCATTGGCGGGTGGGTTCTTTACCACCGCAGCACCTGAGAAACCCTCCCAATTACCTGGTGGAAGCTACAGCTTTGGGCAGCTCTGAGTGCGGGGACTCGTGAGGTATGTCCCTGGTGGGACCTTGAAAGCTACACCAATAAAGCTTTGACAAGTGATACTGGCACCTGGGATGCGCAAGGTTTCTAAGGCAGGTGGTTCCCTCATCTGTCCAGTGTGGATACTGTTTCCTTGCACCTGAGCTGTGACTAGGAGCAGACTGGGGAAAGGGAAGGCAAAAGGCAAGAAACCTCTGGACTGAGGCGTGGACTCTGCATCCCAAGAGGACTCCTCCATGAAAATGGACACCTGGTGCTGCCTCCTGGGTTGTGCTCTTTAGGATGGATGCCAAGCACCCATGGCCCATGGTTGCTCGTGAGTCTGAATATTTTGTTGGTTCTAAAAAGCCTTCCTGGTGGTGTTGAAAATATATAAATAGAAACTGAAATTTTAGGAGTCATCAATAAAATGTCAATAATATTTTTGCTCAGGATTTTTAAGGTCTTTAAGCAAATTATGTCCTATGCTCTTTTAGGTAAAAACGTTCATCTTAGTGAACTGTATTTTAATGTGGTGGTTGTTTTTGAGGCTACAGAACAGCAACAAAAATACTCCAGTGGGCTGAGAGTTATCTAGTCATGATGTATAATAGTTGAGGTCATGAAAGAACAGGTAATAGTTGAGAAGTTGGAAGGGGGCTTCCCTGGTGGCTCAGATGGTAAAGAATCCTCCCGCAACGCAGAAGACGCAGGTTCAGTCCCTGGGTCGGGAAGATCCCCTGGAGAAGGAAATAGTAACCCACTCCAGTATTCTTGCCTGGAGAATTCCCTGGACAGAGGAGCCTGGTGGGCTACAGTCCATGGGCTTGCAAAGAGTTGGACATGACTGAGCAACTAAACAATAACAAGCTGGAAGATGGCTTTAGTTTAAAGAGAGAGGGAACATCTTTTTCTTTGGCCTTGGATTCAAAAACCCAATATTCTAGGAGGTGCACATTGGTAGACACGGCCAGAAGTCGTACAGGCAGGCAGCCCTGCAGAACTGTGAGGTCCTCCTCCTCTTCCACGATTTCATGAAGATGACAGAAAGCCTACAAGGGCCCAGACAGCGATGCTACAGCGAGTGAGTCAGACTGTCCAGTTTAATGATTTCTGGGTTTACTGCCTTCCTCTCATCTCCATGCTTTTAAAAGTGTCAGAGTTCAAGTACCACAGCCTGGTCCTGGCAAGGCTTTGGGGAATAAAATGAAGGGTGATGGGTCCGGATGTGGGTCAGAGTGCAATTCCTGGGTGGCAGGAATGACTGGGCAGAGATTCCTGAAGGGAAGGTGTAAACCAGTGGACCACTCTTCATCCCCGAGGGCGGACACTGTCTCTTTACTGCCAATACTGATTAGGATTTGAGGACGTTAAGGGAGTCTGTGGGTTCCTTTAGAAACTTTTAAAGAATTCTGTATTACCACAAAGGCAATTAAAATCTATTTCACAATATATGCTGACTCTATTACAACATCCAAGTTAACAAGAGCCATGTCTTCTACATCTTTGTGTCTGCTTGCAATTACATCCTCCTATTCTCCTTTGCATCTGAATACTACTACACCTTTGGCTATTTCACAAGTAGACCCAGTAATATCCATAAAAAGTTTTGAAGGGAAAAAAAAGCCTTTCATTTGTGCCCAGTGATTTACTTTTTCTCTTGTAAATCCATGGAGCCAGAGTTCCCCTTGTTGCCAACCATCAATAAGCAAGTCCTTTCTAAGAGCCCTGGGGTGCGTGCAGGCAGGACTTTATTGCTTATTAGTTCATGCTCCAAACACCGTTTTACACCGATTAACTGCCTTTCAACCCTAAGAACGACTCAGAACAATTCCTTAGCCTATTTCCAGAAGAATGCCAAGTCTGAAGAAAGAAGTACAGTGTCTTAACCCATTTGGTAAATTGAAAGAGGAAGTCACAGAATCAAACTAAGCACACAACCAAAATATGAGTTACAGAATGTTATCGTTTTTATGTTCTCAGAGTTTTGAGTAGATACATACACACCAATTGTTCTTTTCTGAGGGGTTAGACTGCAGATGACTTAGTTTAACTGCATTTTCTATGATGGATATATAATTTCTATATAGTAATGGTTATTATTACATTACCTTTATTATTAAAATTTGTTGAAGGGTCACAATGTTCCTGTGCCATCTTAAACACAGTGGAGTGGAGTCTGGAACCCGACTGCCTGGATTTGAACTTCAGCCCCACCACTTACTAGCAATAGTACTTTGGACAAATTTCTTAACTCTGTCTTCATTTTCTCATCTATAACATGGGCCTAATAATGATGCCCACCTACATTACAAGGTGGCTATGAGGATCAAGTGAATTCACATATGTAAAATGCTTTGAAAAATGTGTGGCACAAAGTCGGTACTATATAAGTTTTTTTTTTTAATATTTACTTACTTATTTGGCCACACCAGGTCTTTAGTTACAGCATGCAGGCTATTTGAGCTTCACTGTGGCATGCAGGATCTTTAGCTGTGGCATGCAGGATCTAGTTCCCTGATTGAACCCAGGTCCCTGTGGACTGGGAGCACAGAGTCTCAGACCCGAAACCACCAGGGAAGTCCCAGGAAGTGTTAACCAATAAAATTACCTTATCTTATCCTCAGAGAAACTCTATCAAGTAGGTACTATCACTGACTTCATTAAAAAGTTCAGGAAACTGGGCTCACTTGTCCAAAGCTGCAACTAGTAAGTAATGGAACTAGAACTTGAACCTGCTCATGCTCTTAACATGATGCCATACTCCTCCCAGTCTTTATTTTTTAAGTTAAATATTTAGTAGGAGAATCTAAAGAGACAAATATATAGTTACTGAAGGTTAAACAAGCTGACTTGAGTGTTTTATTTTCATGATAAATTGTAAGGAACATCCCATAATGAAGCAAACGTGCACCTCGGTCACAGGATCACACTGATAACAAGTTCTAACCAGTATCAATAATAGAACATGAACAAAACAAAATTCTCACCAATACTCTTTCAAAGTAATTTTGAGAGTCAACACTATTTGCAAAAAACCATGAATTGCTCTAAACACTGGTTATATATATTTAATTTTTATTTGCTTTCAGTTTTTTTTTTTTTTAAAAGGTAATAGGTTAAAAAAAAAAGTTTCAAAATTAGTGTCTCTTGCCCCTCCTTTAGGCAACTAGTTTTCTGGGTGTCTTTGTAAGATATTTGATGCACATACATGCAAATATGTGTATTTCCCTTTCACAACAGCCTTTTGTTTTTTACAGAAATGTAGCATATCTACTTCGGAGAAGGCAATGGCAACCCACTCCAGTACTCTTGCCTGGAAAATCCCATGGACGGAGGAGCCTGGTGGGCTGCAGTCCATGGGGTCGCTGAGAGTCAGACACGGCTGAGCGACTTCCCTTTCACTTTTCACTTTCACGCATTGGAGAAGGAAATGGCAACCCACTCCAGTGTTCTTGCCTGGAGAATCCCAGGGACGGCGGAGCCTGGAGGGCTGCCGTCTATGGGGTCGTACAGAGTCGGACATGACTGAAGCGACTTAGCAGCAGCAGCAGCATATCTACACTATTTTCACTTGCTTTTTGGACCTTTTTTTTCTGGTTGTAACGTGTAGCATGTTGTATCTTAGTTCTCTGACCAGGGATGGAACTCAGCCTCTTAGCAGTGAAAGCATGGAGTCCTAACCACTGGACCATCAGGGAATTCCTGCTTTTTGGACTTAAAAACATATTCTGGAGATCATGCCACATCATTACATGAAGAGCTTTGTAATTTTTAAATACCTACATAATATTTCACTTTATGGATATAAAACAATCTAAGGACACCAATCTCTTGCTACTGTAAATAATGCTTATAAGTAATGAACAATGGCAAACAATATTTGTTTATTAAAAATAATCAACTTGTCATAACAATACTATTTTCATTAGCAAAATTATAGGAGTTTCTGGAACGTCCTGAAATTTTAGTAATGCTTAACTATACATCAAAAAAGGGCCCCTGGAAAAAAGAAATTAATTTACTTTAGAAATTTGAACCCAGAGCTATGAGATGGAATCATAAAACCACTAGGTTACTTGCTTTCTAAATATTATAGCAATAAAGAAATGTTTTTGCAAAGATAAATAATATGTCAAAAATTAACTGTTATACTTTGCTAATCAAATTATCTCTGAAAAACTTATCTCTGGATTTGAAAGAAACTAAAGATCAGCTTATCAGTAAAAACACTTGTGCAAAGCAGCACATATGCTCTTTCCTTTTATAGGAAAAAATTTTGAAATTGTACTTGAATTTGTGTGTTGATTCCAAGATTTATTTACATTTCAGATGCAGGGTTAGAATCAGGAGTACGTTGGTAGATGAGAGGAAAAAACGCGGTTTAACTAAAAAATTAAAGCATGTGAAAAGTAAATAAAAACCTGAGATAAGAAATTCTTTGCAAAATGACACTCAAAATGTTTCCCAAAACTATTGTTGTATCTTCTAAAAATAGCCTGAAACAAGTATACTCATCAAAAAAAGCTCCGAACAAAACAGAGGAAAAATTAAATTTACCTAAAAAACCCTGAATCTTAATTCAAAGGCATCCATACACCTCTTTCTTCATTTCTTGTATACTGCTAAATATTGGGCATTCCAGGGCCTTTGAGAATTGCTTAATATGAACTGTTTAATTTTCCCAGGTAAAGAAATAGAGACATAATGAGAACCACTCCAACATTTGGCTCAGGAAAACAATGAAAAATACTTCCAATTTTTAGATCACTTAATGAAGTGGTTCTCAAATGACAAATAGCAGATATGTGCCAAGCCTCTGTAACAGGTGTTCTTAACTAGCAGTGTGCTACAGAATCACCTGAGATGCTTTAAAAAGTTAAGGATTTCAGCCCCAGTTGGATAATTTGGAAGTTACCAGTTTAAAACCTTGTTATAATATTAATAGTATTACATAGCGGTGATGATAAAGCTAATTCAAGGAGTCTAGGGGAAGACAAACAATTAAAAGTACTAATCTTCCTGATCTAACTCCCCATAGGTAATCACTGTGACCAATTATTTCTGTACCTTACATATTTGTAATTTACAAAAGTGATCACACTATACATGTTCTGCAAATGGCTTTGGTCACCTAACAACATATTTGAACATCTCTCCACATCAGGACATACATATCCACCTTGATCTTACAACAGTTGCCTAGCATTCCATTTTTAAGATGTATTATCCCTTATTTAAGCAGCTCCTTACTGAATTTGCTTCCCTGGTAGCCCAGGTGGTAAAGAATCTGCCTGCAATGTGGGAGACCCAGGTTCGATCCCTGGGTGGAGAAGAATCCCCTGGAAAAGGGAATGGCTACCCACTCCAGTATCCTTGCCTGGAGAATTCCATGGACAGAGGAGCCTGGCAGGTTACAGTCCATGGGGTTGCAGAGTTAGACGTGACTGAAGTGACTTAGCACACACATACAGGAGCATGTGTGAAACCTATATGGAAACACTGCACCACTTTACATAAGAACTTGATAATCTGCAGATTTTGGTATCTGTGGGAGTCCTGGAGCAAGCCCTCAGGGACATCAAGGGATGGCTGCGTGTGTGTACGTGTGTATAGATTTAAACTATTTCAGGACAGGTTTTTATGGAGACAGAATAGAAATCTGTATCTCAAATAGTGAGCTGCTGCTGCTGCTGCTAAGTCACTTCAGTCGTGTCTGACTCTGTGCCACCCCATAGACGGCAGCCCACCAGGCTCCCCCATCCCTGGGATTCTCCAGGCAAGAACACTGGAGTGGGTTGCCATTGCCTTCTCCAATGCATGAGAGTGAAAAGTGAAAGTGAAGATGCCCAGTCATGTCCAACTCTTAGTGACCCCATGGACCGCAGCCTACCAGGCTCCTCTGTCCATGGAATTGTCCAGGCAAGAGTACTAGAGTGGGTTGCCATTGCCTTCTCCAAAATAGTGAGCTAATAGTTATTAATTTTAAGTGATGTAATTGTGTGGACAATATATATCTTTGGACTTTTTAATGTTTTCCAAATATTCCCATGGGGGAAACTCAAAAGTTATTTTGCTTAAATAGTGGAACCTAGGTTCTCACTAGAAAATGAAACAAAACAAGAACAAAACAGAACAGGAAGCATTTGAAGTCCATTAGTTTCTTTTTTGTGTGTTTAATTTGCTTTGGGATGAGCTAAAGCATAACTTCTAAAAAGTTCTGAAGAAGTGATTATACTTACATTCCTGTTTGAAGGTAAAATATTCTGTAAGATGCCTGCATTCATGATTTCCTCGAAGCAGAAACAATGTTTTAGGATGATTGATCTTTAAACTCCATAAATACAGCACACACTACAAGCCAAACATAAGGATAAAATTTTATTTTTGATTACAATAACACATAAAGACAATTTATACAAGTTCAAATGACTTGCTGTAATGGCATATCTCATTGCTATTCCCAAGACAAAATGTGAGGAATCCGTCTTTTGAGTGTGACCTGCTGCTGTCGCCCTAGAATTCTTTTTTTTGTTTGTTTGTTTTTGTTTTGGCCTCACTGTGTGGCATGAAGGATCTCCGTTCCAGACCAGGGATTGAGCCCAGACCCCTGAGGTGGAAGCGCAGAGTGCCAACCATTGGACCTCGAAGGAATTCCCTGCCCTTAAGTTTGAAAGAACATAGGAGAGCAGCCTTCACAGAAACCTCTTCTTACTTTCTGCTCCCATATTCTATCCAAATATCTAGATCTCTATGATAAAGCAACCCACACACATACCTTAGTCCTAAAACTTGTATTTTATTTAATGGAGAAACACTGGAGACATTTCCACTAAAATCAGGAACAAGGAAAGATACGTACTATCACCACCACTATTCAACACTGTACTAGAGGTATTAGTCAACTGAATTCAACAAAAGAAGCCAATGAGAGGCTTAAGAATGAGTAAAAATAAAACTGTTCCTATTTGAAGATAACATAATATCATACCAGATAAACTCCAGAAAAATCAATGATACAACTAACTAAAATAATAAAAAAGTTCAGTAACATGAAAGGATATAAAATCAACGTATGAAACCAGTAGCCTTCATATATACAAACAATATGTAAGACACAATGGTAGACAAAACTCCATTTACAACAGCAGCAAAGAAGATTAAACATAAAGGAATAAACTTAACAAGAAGTGTGCAAAATTCACACTACGAATAACTTGAAAAAACACTCCTGAAAGACACAAAAGGAGACATGAACAAATAGACTTTCCCTGTTTTTGGATAGGATGATTCCGCATTAAAAGAATATAGTTCTTCCAAGTTTATAAACTCATTGCATTTCCAATGGAAATACCATAAGCTATTCTATGGAATTAGATGAGTTGATAATTAAATTTACATGAAAAAATAAACATGCACGAATAGCCAGGAAACAGAAAAACACTGAAAAAGACTGTTAAGACATACTGTAAAATTTCTAAATTAAAACAGTGGTCCTGACACATATATAGATATATAGATCGTATGGGTACAATGGCTAATACATGAGATTTTTTTTTTTTTCATTTATTTTTATTAGTTGGAGGCTAATTACTTTACATCATTGCAGTGGGTTTTGTCATACATTGAAATGAATTAGCCATGGTTTTACATGTATTCCCCATCCCGGTCCCCCCTCCCACCTCCCTCTCCACCCGATCCCTCTGGGTCTTCCCAGTGCACCAGGCCCGAGCACTTATCTCACGCACCCAACCTGGGATGGTGATCTCTTTCACCCTAGATAATATACGTGTTTCGATGCTGTTCTCTTGAAACATCCCACCCTCGCCTTCTCCCAGAGTCCACAAGTCTGTTCTATACATCGGAATCTCTTTTGTTTTGCATATAGGGTTATCGTTACCATCTTTCTAAATTCCATATATATGTGTTAGTATACTGTAATGGTCTTTATCTTTCTGGCTTACTTCGCTCTGTATAATGGGCTCCAGTTTCATCCATCTCATTAGAACTGATTCAAATGAATTCTTTTTAATGGCTGAGTAATATTCCATGGTGTATATGTACCACAGCTTCCTCATCCATTGGTCTGCTGATGGGCATCTAGGTTGCTTCCATGTCCTGGCTATTATAAACAGTGCTGCGATGAACACTGGGGTGCACGTGTCTCTTTCAGATCTGGTTTCCTCGGTGTGTATGCCCAGAAGTGGGATTGCTGGGTCATATGGCAGTTCTATTTCCAGCTTTTTAAGAAATCTCCACACTGTTTTCCATAGTGGCTGTACTAATTTGCATTCCCACCAACAGTGTAAGAGGGTTCCCTTTTCTCCACACCCTCTCCAGCATTTATTGCTTGTAGACTTTTGGATAGCAGCCATCCTGACTGGTGTGTAATGGTACCTCATTGTGGTTTTGATTTGCATTCATGAGAAGATGTTTAATTGCACTAGTAATCAAAGAAATATTAACCGAAACAACAATATACCCATCATTTTGGTAAATGTTAGAAAATGAGATAAAACCAAATTCTGGAAAGAGACGGGAAGAAACATGAATTCTTAGGTGCTTCTGGTAGGCATATAGACTGTTACAGCTATTCTAAAGAGTGATCTGAAATACTCAGTTCATGTATGGGTCATACCCTTTCCCCTAGCAATCCCAGTCTTATTCATACACCATTTTGTCTTTCGCTGTTGTTGACTTGCTCAGTCACATCCGACTCTTTTGTGACCCCATTGACCGTAGCCCCCCAGGCTTCTTTGTCCACAGGATTCTCCAGGCAAGAATACTGGAGTGGATTGCCATTTCCTGCTTCAGGGGATCTTCCTGACCCAGGGATTAAACCCATGTCTTCTGCATTAGCAGGCAGATTCTTTACCACTGAGCCACTAGAGAAAGCCATAGAGTGACTACTAATAAAACATGGGACCATAAATGGATTTATACAAGGGTGTTCCTCACAACAGTGTTCATTATAGAAAGAAACTGGAGTCAACCAAGTTGTCCACCATTGAGAACAGAGAACTAAAATGTCATAGATGTATACTACGGAATACAACGGAACAGAGAGAAACCCAGACAGACCTTTAAAACATAATGATACATGAAAACCAAAATCAACAGAAGCTTGTTAGAATACAGATTCCCAGGGTCTACCCCAGACCTAAAAAAGTCAGAAATTCTGGGGTGGGGTCTAGCAATTTGTTTTTGAATAACCCCTCCAGGTAATTATGATGCCTGCTAGAGTTTGAGAATGATTGAACAGCACCATATATCATTTATGCAAAACTAAAAAATATTTTTTCCTCAAAAACATTATATACTAAAAAGTTAATATAATTAGTATATGTATTCTGAGGTATATACCAAATACCAGACAAACGTGTACACTTTGGAGAGGGAGTAAGGAAAATAGAGGTCACAGATTAAAAAAAAAAAAAAACCAGTAGAGGGGCTTTTCAGGAAAAACTAGCAATAAATGTGCCATGACCTGAAGGGCTGCATTCAACCAAGATTGCCCACCTCCTAAAAGGAAAGACATCAAAATTCTGAATCAAGACACTTCTCTGAAGTCCTCTTCTAATTCACCAGCATCTTCTGCCTACGCTCCTGAATGAGACTCCTAACGAGTCTCCCTGAACCCGTTCTTGGGCTCCTAGTCAGTCTCCCACATAACAGCTAGAGGAACTGTCTTAAAACATAAATGGAAGTTATATCACTGCCACGCTTAAAAAACAAAAAACATATCAACAAAAAAAGCTCTAGAGGATTTTCATTGAGTTCAGGATAAAACCCAAACTCTACCATGGTTTGCAAAGCCTGACATCATGTAACCCCTGCCCCTCTCTCTGATGCACCGTCCACATTGTCCCCTTACTCATTTTGTCTAGCCACGCTGACCTTGCTTCTGTTCCTGAGCTGTCTTAGGCTCGTTCCTTCCTCAGAGCTCTACACGGCCTCTGCCTGGAAGGTACTCACCCCACCTCCATCTATGCATGGCTCATTCTCTCCGGTCATTCACGTGTTCTATTCAAATGTTACCTCTTCAAATAGAACTTCCCTGACCTCCAACTAAATGGAAAGTGAGAGTGTTAGTTGCTCAGTCGTGTCCAACTCTTTGTGACCGCCTGGACTGTAGCCTCCAGGCTCCTCTGTCCATGGGATTCTCCAGGCAAGAATACTGAAGTGGGGAGCCATTCCTTTCTCCAGGAGAACTTCCTGACCTGGGGATTGAACATGGGTCTCCTGCATTGCAGGCGGATTCTTTACCGTCAGAGCTACCAGGGAAGCCCCAGATGAGCACCCTGACTTGACTTTCATGGACACTAAACAAATATAAAGATGCTGTCTCTCTTACCAGAAAACACAACACAGGACTTGGTTATGCTTGTTTATCTTCACATCCCCACAATGATAACAGTGTCTCTCAACTTAGGTACTATTAACAGGCACAATTCTTTGTTGCAGGATGCTTTGTATGCCTGTGTGCTAAGTTGCTTAGTCATGTCTGATTCTTTGCGACCCCATGACTGTAGCTCGCCAAGAACTTTAGGTGACAAACTATTCATTCATGTCATTGTACATAATTATGAGTTTATGTGTAGTATAATTTCACAAAAAGTGAAATTGTTAGATCAAAATATGTGTATGTTTTAAGAAAGACAATGCAAAAAAAACATTATAAAATGTAAACACATAAAAAAAATGTAAACACATAGACACATACAAATATAATTAGATGGCTTTTCCCTTTTGGGGGCTGACTTCCCTTTGCAACATACCAACTTTCACAATATTCCAAGGAAAAATTAGATTAAATTCACATATAAATGTAGAAAGCACTTTCTCTTTTCTATACTTACCTTTCCAAGAACATGCTATATCTTTTGATTTATTTGGTCTTTATTTCTGCTTCCTGAAATGACCAACTAACCTTTCTGAAGTAATGAGCTATAAAAAGCACAATGCACGTCCACTCTACAATGTGATTTGGTTGATATACTTCTCGGCCTCTAATTTCAAGTTTTATTCCCTCGTACTATACATCAGGATACAATTTTATGATTATTTAGTACACAACAAAGAAAGGTCATGATCATCAGGAGGTCTCTTTACATATTACTGGGTGAAAGAGGATCCCATGTTTACTTAGACTAATCAACCAGTGACAGGGAGTGGATTGCCATGACTGGTTCAAACCAACCAGAAAAATTCAACCCCTTGGGCTTGGATAAGGGTCTTCCCTCCCCAACATTAAAAGTCCTCCCTGAACCCCCAATCCCATTTATTTGGAAAAAACAAGGATTTTGCTAGTAAGGAATAAGAGAAAAAGGAGACAATAGCAGTACCTGCTACAAACTGAACTATCCAAAGAGGAATGGTGAAATAAACTGTGGTATTTATGCCACTGATCACACTTTTGGAGAAATTTTAATGACAGAGAAAAGTGTTCTCAACACAAAGTTGAAGAGGGGGAAAAGATTACAAAAAAGAGTACACAAAACAATCTCAACTTTCTTTGAAAATTGTATATACATGTAAAAGGAGAAAAAAGAATGCAAGGAAATATAACAAAATAGCAACAGTAATTATTTCATTTATAAATGTTTTTGTTAGATTCTGCATTTCCCAATTTTTCTACTCCCAAAAATGACTATTTATAACAAAAAACTGTAAACAGGGCTCCATTATCTTATTTTCCTCTGTTTGACAAACATAACATTCATGTTTATCAAGCACATTGATAAAAAAATTATTGTTCAAATTACATACTTAAATCATGTTGGACTAAGCTGTAGCTTATAGAAACCTATAACCTTATTGGTTTATAAGTGACTTCCAACTAACACCAGGTTATCTCCTACAGTTTAGTTTTAAAACTGGTGTGATACAGCGCTGTCACTTTAAAGTTTTGATTAATTTCTCTCTTAAACTATTCTAGAAAAACACTTTAAGGTAGCCAAACATCAAGTAACAAGATAAAGCCAAATACAACCTATGATTTATTAACATCCATTCAACCAACAAATACCACGTGCCTACTACGTGTCGAAACCTAATAGAGAGATTTCCCTGGTAATCCGGCAGTCAAGACTGTGCTCTCGACGCAGGGGGCAACCTGGAGGTGAGGCACTTAGGATCTGGGACACTGGCAAGACAACACCGAGGTTTTCTGACTCATGAATTTAGACTGTCTATCTAACTGAAGACTAAGATCCATTTCTCCTGTTTCTTGTGTTTTTGGCAGCTTTAGAACCACAGCTGCTTCTCTGGTTGAGAACCAGGTGACATGGTTGACTTGTATTTAGGCAACATGCTGCATAAACAATAAACCTCATCTCAAGTCTCATCTCAAGCTTATTCTGGGGACATAATAATTCAATTACCTATACTATTTCAAAAGTTACTTTTCTTTGCTGAGCACATACAGCTGAATCAACAGACATTAAATATGAATGTTCTAAGTCCTTCCATAAGCTTTTTAAAAAATATTTATCTGGTTGCACCAGGTCTTAGTTGCAGCATGCAAGATTTTCAGTCTTTGTTGCGGTGTGCAGGATCTCTAGATGTGGTATGCGGGATCTAGTTCCCTGACCAGGGATATGAACCTGGGCCACCTGCACGGGGAGCATAGAATCTTAGCCAACAGACCACCAGAAAAGTCCCTCTGTTAGGTTTTAAAATAGTTTTATTTTTTATAGGTAAAAGCTTATATTAATACTTTGTTTTAAATCTAACCATTTTTCTGTCATCATACAGTTTTCAAAATATGTAACGTGAGTTTTCATTAACTTCATTAACGATAATCATTTTTCCTTCAATGAACATGTCCTTACTATGTGCAACAGTATCAGAAATTATTCCTACAATAGGTTAAATGCCTGATTATTTAGCATTGGCAGTTAATCTATGCATTCAGTGTAGCCCAACAGCTTATGGTTTTACAATTAAGGTGAGCTAATCCAAACCCCATTTAGAGTGAAAAGCAATTTAAGTTATTTATATATATAGCCTGCACACTACCTCCAAAGAGGAAAGATTGGTAAACACTTAACTTATTTGCAAAACTGGGTTAATACAGCCTTTGACATGTCAGATTTTTACTGGTAAATAATAGAAATAGTTTTTTAATATCAATTTCTATCACTTTAATTAATGAAAGTAACGAAGTTTATAAATTCTGCCAGTGTTCATTTTAATTTCTTCTACTGAAGAAAGAAAATTTTTTTAAGAATACAATATGATAGTTCCAATATATCCAGTTTAATATTTACCTCTATACTGAAATAGCCTCTGTCCACGTAGTCACCCAGAAAGAGGTAGCGTGTATTACTAGGTGACCCTCCAACTTCAAACAACTTCATCAGGTCAAAGAACTGTCCATGAATGTCACCACATACTAGGAGGGAAGAAAGACATAGGGTGAGATGAAAAATTATGTTTTAGAAGAGAAAGAGCATTACACTATTAAGACCACAGTTTAACTTTTAACTTAAATCACTCTAGCTTTTGACTGGACTGCTTGATAACTGCAGGTAATCTATCAATCTGAAACAGTCCTACTGGAAATATTAGACATTTTAAATTATATTCCTTCAATGAAAAACAAACATATTAAACAATCATAAGACTGCTCACAATTCCTAGAATAATTATTACACATTTTAGTTGATGATGAATTGTAACCATTCCTCAAACTAGCTCAAATCTAAGTACCACCGTGCAGATCCTTCTCATACCCGTGATTGGAGCATCTACTTCTATCATAGTCTTCTCTTGTCTCAGTATGGCAGCCCCATCATTGATTATTTTTAAGGCTACTTCCTCTTCCAGTCGCCCTTCCTTCACCAAATGGTTTTTCAAAACATCAATTTTAGGTTTCCCATTCTCAAACACTTCCTTCAAAGTAAGCCGCTGGGTCGGAGGAAAGGGGACAGCTAGAAAGAAAAGAAAAGAAAAAATTGTAAACAGGTGAAGTTAGAAAACAACCATAAACACATCACTTTTACATAACAAATTAAGTCTAAAACATCACCATGATTTAACATCCACAGCACCAGAACTACATGGGGAAAAAAAACTAAAGAGATTTATAGATGATTGATTCTAATTTTTTAGAAGGCCACAAAGTCAAAGTCATTTAAAAGATCTAGGTGTGCATAAATTATGCCTTACATATAAACATGAAACACTTGGTTCAGTAAATAAGCTAACAGTGAGACAATGAATATATTTCTTCTATGAAAAAGTATTCAAAAAGAAACTATAGTTTAAAAAATGAAGGAAAAGAAACCACAACACTACTAAAAATGCATTTATTTCCTTCAAAGAATAGACATAATGAAGCCGTGTCTTGGAAGTTTAACTTCAGTTCCTGTTTAGGGGAATCAAAAATGTATGATTTTATTATTAATACAATGTATGATTATATTATTAATAATACAAGTGTATGTATGTATTACGAAAAGATGAAAGTGAAAGTCGCTCAGTTGTGTCCGACTCTTTCCGACCCCATGGACTATACAGTCCATGGAATTCTCTAGGCCAGGATACTGGAGTGGGTAGCCTTTCCCATCTCCAGGGGACCTTCCCAGCCCAGGAATTGAACCCAGGTCTCCTGCATTGCAGGCAGATTCTTTTATCAGCTGAACCACAAGAGAAGCCCTATTAAAAGATAGTCACTTAAAATATTACTGATAATAAGGACACAACTAACAGAATGGAGCTCTTTCAGAAAATAACTTCCTATGGTAACAGAGCACAAACTTGAGAAAAATAGATATGGGAGGCCTAGTTTTGTTTTCTAATCTGGAAATGCTAACAACTAACTTCAGTTTACACTAGATATAAAGATTATATACAACATCACGGTAAGTTAGCAACTTGAACAGAAAAAAATTTTTCACATTTTGAAATTGGCTATCATCTCTTCTTCCTATCTTTAAAACAGTCTACTTTAGATTTCCTGTGACCTATAGCCATAAGTCTATAAACCATACATTTGAAAGGAGAGGTTCATGTTATTTCTTTTTAATTTTTGGTCACATGGGATCCAAGTTACCTGACCAGGGATCAAACCCGTGCCCCCTGAACTGGGAGCACGGAGTCCTAACCACTGGACTGCTGGGGAAGTCCCAACAGAGGGGTTCATTTTAATTTGTGCTTATTGGAGAAAAGGGAACCCTCTTACACTGTTGGTGGGAATGCAAATTAGTACAGCCACTATGGAAAACAGTGTGGAGATTTCTTAAAAAGCTGGAAATAGAACTGCCATATGACCCAGCAATCCCACTTCTGGGCATACACACCGAGGAAACCAGATCTGAAAGAGACATGTGCACCCCAATGTTCATCGCAGCACTGTTTATAATAGCCAGGACATGGAAGCAACCTAGATGCCCATCAGCAGATGAATGGATGAGGAAGCTGTGGTACATATACACAATGGAATATTACTCAGCCATTAAAAAGAATACATTTGAATCAGTTCTAATGAGATGGATGAAACTGGAGCCCATTATACAGAATGAAGTAAGCCAGAAAGATAAACACCAATACAGTATATTAACGCATATATATGGAATTTAGAAAGATGGTAACGATAACGCTATATGCAGGACAGAAAAAGAGACACAGATGTATAGAACAGACTTTTGGACTCTATGGGAGAAGGCGAGGGTGGGATGATCTGAGAGAATAGCATTAAAACATATATATTATCAAGTGTGAAGCAGATCGCCAGTCCAGGTTGGATGCATGAGACAAGTGCTCAGGCCTGGTGCACTGGGAAGACCCAGAGGGATGGGATGGGGAGGGAGGTGGGAGGGGGGATCGGGATGGGGAACACATGTAAATCCATGGCTGATTCATGTCAATGTATGGCAAAAACCACTACTATACTGTAAAGTAATTAGCCTCCAACTAATAAAAATAAATGAAAAAAAAATTGTGCTTACGTCTGATGATTCCACTTCTAGCTTTATGGAAGTGTTAAGAACCAACTTGAAATGTACAGGTGCTTACACAATTTTAAACTTGCTCTAGCCATACCATTTTGTATTATTCAAAAGTAAAGAAAGTCCTAGGTAAGTTTTATAATACTCTTGGCTACAACTTGACTCATTTTGACTATTCAAAGCCCACTGAAAGAAATCATAGTAGCTATCCAACCAGCAAATATTACACTGAGATAGGGGACCACATGCTGCTGCCGCTGCTGCTGCTGCTAAGTCACTTCAGTCGTGTCTGACTCTGTGCGACCCCATAGACGGCAGCCCACCAGGCTCCCCCATCCTTGGGATTCTCCAGGCAAGAACATTGGAGTGGGTTGCCATTTCCTTCTCCAATGCATGAGAGTGAAAAGTGAAAGTGAAGTTGCTCAGTCATGTCCAAATCTTAGCGACCCCATGGACCACAGCCTACCAGGATCCTTCGTCCAAATTTTCCAGGCAAGGGTACTGGAGTGGGTTGCCACTGTCTTCTCCGGAAGGGGACCACATACACCCCGTTTACTCAAGACAGTCCTAGATATCAGCCATTCTCCTAGTGTAACTGTTAACAGTATCCCCTTTCACTCTCAAAACCACCTCAATTTGGAGGACAAATTTAGTGTTAACTCGTGTGATTCATATAGTACACCAATATACTATCCTAATAGTATAATCTACATCTATTATAAGAAAAATATTATGATGGGTCTTTTAGTCACTCATCCAGTGAGTCTATAAAACAGGGTAAAGGTTAGTCCTGAACAAGTTTACTTACATTTTTACTAAAATAGCAATGGTACTATGGTTGCGTTAAATAATAATAAGCCTTTTATATTCTAGTGATTCTTACGGAAATATTTTCAGATGAAAGTAAATGCTATTTGGGATTTGCTTCAAAATTATGGGAGAAATAAGCAATAGTATAGAGCAGCAGCAGTCCTGGGAGGCACAGCGTGTGGCATAAGTCCTCTTGGAGGAGGTTGCCATTAGACCCACTACACAGCCACCAAGCAGGTGACCCAAAAATAGGTTTTTACAGTAGTCATGTATGGATGTGAGTGTTGAACCATAAGAAAGCTGAGAGCTGAAGAATTGATGCTTTCAAACTGTGATGTTGGAGAAGACTCTTGAGAGTCCCTTGGACTGCAAGGAGATCAAACCAGTCAATCCCAAAGTAGATCAACCCTGAATATCCCTTGGAAGGACTGATGCTGAAGCTGAAGCTCCAATACTTTGGCCACCTGATGCAAAGAGCCAACTCATTGGAAAAGTCCCAATACTGGGAAAGATTGAGGGCAGGAAGAGAAGGGGGCGACAGAGGATGAGATGGTTAGATAGCATCACCGACTCAGTGGATATGAATTCTGAACAAACTCCAGGAGACAGTGAAGAACGGGGGAGCCTGGTGTGCTGCAGTCCATGGGGTTGCAAAGCTTGTGCCCACAAAGCTCAGATAATCAGCACCTGCATTCTCAGTCATCACACAGGCACAGTTTACTCATCTTCGTGTCCTTACTCCCAGCCCCTATGTGGCCACATGGATACAAGGAGTTCAGAATTTCTGAATAGAAAGAAAGGGGATTTAGAGAAATGCTTCGTAAACTGTCTTGGGAACTGCCCCCACCCTAGCAGCAACAGGTAGAAAACTAAACCTTATAAAATGCGGTAAAAGTAAATTACTGGAAAAATAATCACAGGCACAGATGTTGTGCCGATTCGAGCTGCTATCGAAGTTTTTAAATGGTCACCACCCTCTGTACTGACTTCACTTAGCACCAGTTGGTGGACAGACACTGATTCACAGACCACACTTTCTAAATAAGTCTGGTTTGGATAAATATGGATTTAGGGGAACAAGAATTAGACTAGAATGAAAACTTGAATATTATGCATATACACGTGTTCAAGCCCCAGTTTCAGTTTTAACAAGTTTTAAACTGTCTTTAATGACATTCAGAATTTCACTGATTAAAAAATACAATCTAAGCACTTGGACTCTGAAGTTTAAGCTTCTAACATCTTACCCATGCTTTAAACTATGAAGTATTTAAACTGTAACACTGAGGTTTAGTACTTGTATCCTTTCAAGTCATAAATAAACCATATGCCACCAAACACAGAAGTTTCCCTTCTTCTTTTCTGTGGCTGTGTGTCGCCTCTTTATTCCATTTCTAAAGCTATCATCCTCCCAAAACCAAGTCTTAGCACAATTTTTCAATTTTCAAAGAAAAGATACTAAAGTGTAATTACAAGGATAGTAAGTAATTCCTGACATTTTATTTGTTCAAAAAATTATGCTAACCAAAGTAGGCATTTTAATTTTTTCTATATATATATATATATATATATATATATATTTTATTGCAGTACAGTTGACTTACAATGTTTCAGGACCAAATTAGGCATTTTTAAATGAAAAAATCAGAATGGCAGTGTGAGCACTCAAGTTATTGCTTTATTGGTTATTTCATATTGTCACTTGGGGCACTGGTTCCTTTATTTTTAACATAGGCTCATCATTTTAAAAGCTACAACCCTTATCAACAAGAAAGTAGAGTTAATAGAGGGATCAAAGGGTCTCAAAACACAAGCATAGATTTAAAAAATATTTGACTATGAATTGAAAGGTCATTTATCCAGAAATATGATAATTTAGGGGTTAACAAACTACAGTACATTTTTTTTTTTGGAGGAGAGGAGGTGCTTGTTATTCAAAGATGACTGGCACTAGAAAAGGCCACTTAGGCCTTCCCTGGTGGTACACTGGTTAGGAATCCACCTGCCAATGCAGGTAACAAGGTTCAATCCCTGGTCCGGGAGGATCCCACACGCCACGGAGCAACTAGGCCCATGCGCCACAATTACTGAGGCCACGCTCCAGAGCCCACGAACTGCAGCTACAGCTCCTGCATGCTCTGGGGCCTCTGAGCCACAACTCCGGCAGACTG